CCTACATGGGTATATAATCATTTCATTATCATGGTTTGGATAAATTCTTTATATAAGAGAAATGCAAGAAAGCGTAGGTTTTCAAGCATTTAAAAACTAAGTACACAAGATACATGTGTTCCCCCAAAGACACAAGAGAGAGGTGGGAAATAATCTTCTTTCATTGAATCTGCATTATTGCAACTATCGGTTCTAATTATGATCCTTATTTGGGGGGGGGGGGGGCAAAAATAGCCATATTTGTGGTACATGACACAAAACTGTTGTATTTTCTGAATAAGAGCAAATTGTCGAATATTCGATATCTTTTACATGACAGCAGTAAAACAAGATTGGCCACTGATGCACATTCTTAAAACTCAATTTCGTTCACGTCCCTCCTCCATACGGCTTCGAAAAACGAAGCACGCGTGCCCCAAACTTCATGTAAGGTAAATGCACTTTTTCAAAATAAAACTTGCATAATTTTTTTCAAAACTAACATATATTTGCAATATAATAATGACACTTATTAATAATATAAAACCTACAAATAAATCAATGAATTGAGTTGAGCTAATATGTGTTACGTAATTTTTTTTGTATGATAAAATGCATAATGCATATTGTATATCCACAATGAGTTTCCTAATAAAGATGTCTTAGTTAAACTGCGGCGTATATACAAATTTGAATTAGTGCACTTGAATTCCAGCATACAACAACAACAACAAAAATGTTCAACGAGTGCAAAGCATGTTTTTAAAATCACTTTTACATTTGTATATATTTACAAAGAAAATCTAAAGAAACTTGTAATGTTTACGTGGTTATAGCATCCCAATTTTTTTTATTGTACAACTTATTCCAGCTCTGGGATTCACAAATTTACAGATTATGAAACGTACATGTGATAGACACTACCATAACATCATGCAATAAGTTTGTAACATTAAATCATATTATGCAATGAAGCACAATTTCTCTATCATGCGTGGCTTGTGTTGGGAATGGCCATATATAATATAATACACATTAATATCAATGCGAGTCGTTCTGTATAAAACAAATGTATATCAATATAAAAAAAAACATTAGGAAGTGTAGACATACATGTACAATATTTTTAGAAGTTAATTGATCAAGCAACAAGTCTTTCCGTACATTACAAAATATACATGTACTATGACTTCGACAACGGAACATGCATCCTTGTTGAAAATGTCTTATTTCCATGAGAATAATAATGATAATAATAATAGAAATGGTGCTTATAAAGCGCTTTCCACCGTATTCTTAAAGCGCTATGACAAGCAAAATACAATGATAAACAATTCCATTATAAACAAATCAAAACATTACAAACAATCCCCCAAATAACAAACATATGCAATATACATCAACGTAACCAGAGTAAGTTAATCATCAAAACCAAATTTGAATAATTGTGTCTTAAGACAAGTTTTGAATTGGTTGACAGTTTGACAGTTTTTGACATGTAATTGTAGTTTGTTCCAAAGTTCAGCAGAATCTTTGCAAACAGAGCGATGACTAGAGTTGACGCCTAAGTAGATACGAGGTTTAGTTGTGAAGATGACCGTAAATTTCATGATGGTTTTTATTCCTGGATTAGTCCTGGCAGATAAATTATTGCCAATTCATGAATACATTTATAAGTGAGAAACCAAGATTCTGTACTTCAATGCGGTACACTAACAAAGTCATAATGACCTCTATTGACAGCGATATTAATCGCATATTTGAAGCTAGAAAGGCGTTAACTCGGCATACACGCATTCACTATTCTATATCAAGTTATTCAGGCTCAGAATGTAACACCCGGCTCAACATGAAATAAAAAAATGCAAAAATAAAATCTAAAAAAATAAATCATACTCCAAATTAACATCTACATGATCTGTGAAGAGAATATATCTGGTAACATGGGTATCATACACCTTTAGAGTAATGTTCATTTTGAGCATGTTGATCCTAGGAGTATCACCTTGGTTCAATTTCATTCTAAAATTAGGATCTAACATGGCTGGATGATAGCAAACTACTTATATAGTCTATGTCAAATCGACATGGTGATAAAATAGAATGCCAACAATTAGTAAAGATCTTCCCTCAATTATTGAAATATAGCACACTATAGACTATTTAACTATGCATACATTCACATAACAACGAATTGAAAAGTAGACAATTTTGATATTTCCTTTCACATCAAAAACATTAATGCAAGAATTTAAGAAACGAATGTGAAATAGTAACAACTATGAACATCATACACTTTAAAGACATTCGAATTCGAACGATGATATTTATTTGTATTTATTTGTAAGTATTACACTATCTTTTAAACAAAAAAAGAGATATACGTATGACGACTTTGTGTTTAGTACATTGTAACAAGGGCGAGGATGTATACAAACAAGTACGTGTAGTGCCACAGAGAAGGCATCATGAATTGCCTACAAGCCCCTGACCCTGTATGAGATTCTACTTGGGTTGTGGTAGTGGTAACTGATGTAGGTACAGTATTAACAATCTTCCTTGTAGTTTCTTTGATAGGTGGCCACTCGAAGTCATTGCACGTTGTTGCATTCACATGCAAGGTTACATCATGTGAGCAACAAGAGAAATGAGTGTAATCGTGTAGCCAGAATATACGTCTGGTAATTAGCCCGTTAACTGTAATATCACCCATGACATCAATCCTCTGATCATGCTGGTAACATGATAGTGTGGTTGTAACGCTTCCAGTGATGGCTTCACAGTGTATTTCATAAGGATAATCACTATTTTCACTTAAAGTGATGAAGCATTTTGCTCGTCCAGGTGGGGTGTGAACATCAACTTCCTTCTGAATAGTTTCATACCTAACGTTTTCAAATCTATGCCAGATTGCCAATAGTACGTACCCACCCTTGTCTAGAGTATCAACGTTATCTATCATCAGATTCAAGCAAGGAGAGGTGTCTAAATCTGTGACTGAGGTAGTAAATCTTGATAACTGGGATGGGCTTTTAAAGCCCTCGATATCAGGGTGTCCATTAATGCAGAATGGACGAGACTCGGATTTAAATCCAAGTGTGTAATATGGAACATCGTGGGATGTACTATTAGATGGCCATGAGAGATGGAATGGGACCACACCATGTTTACCTGCTTGTAGTGTCACCCGTTCGGTGATACCGCTGCATGCAACGAGAACTGGACTTCCAGCAAGAATTATGGCCAAAGCGATAATCATCTGCAGAAAAGTCGATGTTCGACGTTTGGTCTAAAACAAAAGGGTATGAATTTGAAAGAACGTCGTTGAAATTTGAGAAGTCATGGAATATCTCATTCAGCAAGGATCCGATATGAACAATACAGGTTTGTTTGTTTTGTTTTTCGTTTTGTTTTGATTTGTGTTTTTTTTTTTTTTTTTTTTTTTTGGGGGGGGGGCACCATTCAATGCTGACGTTCAATGTTCCACAAGGAAACAAGTGATATTTCTCTATATATGGGAATTATGATATTTATTTATAGTCGCCCCGAAAAAGATTAACAAATATGACGAGGCAGTAAAAACCTAAATTGATATAACGAATGAAAAGAGCAAATGCTTATTTTATCGAAAAGCCTTCCTCAACCAATTCAAGAAGTTACTGTCGTCGTTTATTCATCACTAAAACTACTTATAAGGGTTAATGCTCGACTCTTTCCTCTCAAATATAATCTAAATATTCTGGTAGTGTCCTTTAATAAAAGCCCTCATACACGTTTTGTTTTGCACAGGTGTAGAACATTCATACATTGTTATCATAAGCTTGTTATGATTTTCATAACTTCGACAGCTATTTATTTAGAAATGATAAATTGAGGCAATACTTTTCTCTTACCCCGACTTTCCAAACTGGGTTTGAGGATGTTCCGTGGGTGGAGACAGGGTTTCCGTCAGACAACCTTTGGTGAACGACATCTGGTGGGTGGGTAGGGGAGCTGTTGAATTTAATCGTAGAAACTACAGTTAGCTGATGTAAGGAGAAACCACATTGGTCCTTAGTAGGGTCTACTCAGATGATGTCAAATTTGTATAGCCCATTAACAAAAAAATCTCTGTAATATACAAATGTATGTATGAGTGTTTACTAATAGATGTACAAGGAAAAACACCTAGATTTAGATATCTACTTCAACAGTACATCATGTCTAGCTTCACTGTTCTCTAGCAATCCGAAAGTGCAATGTCTTACAGTTTACTTACATATCGCTTTTTTCCGTAAATGTTTATTTTTTTATACATTATGAAGAACATACAAAATATTTCTGAATATTTAATGAGCATGAAGAAAATCGTTTTTATTAATGACCTTTTAATTAAATACATCATGATATACGAGTAATTAGGTTGCCTCATAATACAAGAAACGAAAACTGACTAGTACCTCTCAAACTTCACTGATGTTTCGTTGACTGATAGATCATTTCCATCATTCATTGGTGAAGAAGATTCCTGGAGAAAAAAAATCAATTATCATAACAATTGTCATTTTAGAGTGCTGTGAAATGATATAAAATAAATGGCGACAATTAGTTTTGGTTAGCACGGATGCTCAAGAAAGAATTGGACAAAACAAAGAGTAAGACGAAGTTTAAAATACATGCAAAGAATGAACACGTTACTGTTTTTCAAAACATAAACAATCTGACCTATGTGTATAAGACCATTGAATGTAATTCGTCATGCTCTATTTTTAAAATATGAGTACTTTTCTCATAAACAGGTGTGTGGGTGGTAAAAATATTACGGAAAATTTAACTTAGGGCTATGTACACAAGGTCATTAACTTTTACGCTTTCTACGAATCTCTGTTTTTCATCTCTATGATGACATTAGAATTGGCTAAATGGTTGCTTCCAAACATAATTATCCGTATTTACCATTATCTTTTCAATCCAAGTTTGAATCAAGTATATGCTTTGTTAAGATAAAACTTAAACATTGAATAACCACTCAGTCTCATTACCTTGTTTTCGTCAATTAGTGAGTAACATTTGGATTCCGGTTGATCAGAAGGATGACCGTCAGTCTCCATGGTTTGTAGAAAGGGTGAATCGAATCCACTGTATTGCCATGTATGAGGTGCATGCGGGGAAGAACAGTCCGTGCCATTTGTTGTGGTGTCTCTTTCCATTGTCCCGGTGCACTTAATTGCTTCCATCTGATCTAGCATGGGATCTTGTTCACCCTTGTCAGGAAGTTTCAGCTTAGCATGAATGAAAGGATTGCATTCTTTATGGCCACCCTTTTCATCATCAGTGGTCCTTGTGGGGAGACTCTTCAAGGAGGGTTCATCGGCTCCTCTCTCCAAAATATCAGCTTGAATACAGTCATACCCCTCATCTGCAATGTCTACCTGAGATTCTAAATGTGTTTGTCCATCCTTCATTGTCACTGTCACATATCCTCTTGTGATGATATTCTGGTGGCCTCCAGATCGTGGATCTTCTGTTTCTTCCTCATCCGGGTCACCCCTAGAAGGTGAGATACCTTCTATTGCATGTGGATGGGTTGTGTTTGTTGCTGCTCGGAGCGGCGTCAAGTTATCTATGTCCCTCACGTGGATGTCTGCTCCATTCAATGCGAGGTAATCGACTATGTCGTGGTGTCCTTCCTGTGCAGCTGCTTCTAGTGGTGTCCATCCATCATGATCTTGTTCATTGACATTAGCGTTGTGCCGAATGAGAAATTTCACGATATCCATATTACCATTGTAACATGCTGCATGAAGAGGGGACTTGCCGCTGTCATTTCTTTCGTTCACATCATATCCACTGGAGATTAGGAAGTTTACCACATCGGTATGGTCATATTGTGTTGCGATGTACAGCGGGGTCAATCCGTAAAACGTGGTACCCTTAGCTCCTTTCGCCACAAGAAATTTGACAACTTCCAAATAACCGTTTTCGACTGCAGCATGTAATAGCGTCCGACCTTTGCAATCTTTCTTGTTGACATCACAACCTTGCTGAATGAGATATTCCATGACTTTCATGCGACCGCTGTCAGCTGCACCATGCAGAGGAGTCATTCCATCATCATCTTCTTCGTTCACGTCAGCTCCTTTGGATATGAAAAATTGTACTATATCTAAACGGCCACAATATGCTGCACTGTAGACTGGGGTCATCCCATCACATCTGTTTTGCTTCGCTCCTTTAGTCATGAGATATTTGACGGCTTCTAGATGGCCATTTCGAACAGCAGCATTGAAAGGTGTCCACCCAGTGTTATCTTTCTTGTTCACATCAGATCCTTGCTCGATTAGATATTCCATGACTGCCATGCGACCGCTGGCAGCTGCACCATGGAGAGGAGTCATTCCATCATCATCATTTTCTTCGTTCACATCAGTTCCTTTGGATACGAAATATTTTACTATATCTAAATGGCCGGAATATGCTGCATTGTAGACTGGGATCATCCCAGCACTTTTGGTTTGCTTCGCTCCTTTAGTCATGAGATATTTGACGGCTCCTAGATGGCCTTTTCGAACAGCAGCATTGAATGGAGTCCAACCATCGGCATCTGCCTTGTCCACATCAGATCCTTGCTGAATGAGATATTCCATGACTTTCACGTGGCCTCGAGCAGCTGCACCGTGGAGAGGAATTCTCCCTGTGTAAACTTCTCCGTTCACATCAGCTCCTTCACTGAGGAAAAGTTTGACGAGGTCTAAATGACCAATTCGTGCTGCCTCATAGAGTGGAGTCATACCTGAATATCTGTTCTGCTTCGCTCCTTCAGTCATGAGATATTTGACGGCTTCTAGATGGCCATTTTGAACTGCAGCGTTGAATGGCGTCCACCCAGTGTTATTTTCCTTGTTCACACCAGACCCTTGCTGAATGAGATATTCGATTACGCCAAGGTGACCTTTAGCAGCGGCACCAAGGAGAGGAATATCTCCTTTTTCATTTTCCTCATTCACATCAGCTCCTTTCCAAATTAAGTTTCTGACAACATCCAAATGACCAAATACTGCTGCAGCATACAATGGGGTCATTCCAGCATATCTGTTCTGCTTCGCCCCTTGAGTCATGAGATATTTGACGGATTCTAGATGACCATTTTGAACAGCAGCATTGAATGGTGTCCAACCCTTAGCATCACTCTTGTTCACATCAGATCCTTGCTGAATGAGATATTCCATGACTTCTAAGTGATTTCGAGCAACTGCACCGTGGAGAGGAGTCCGTCCTGTATCATTTTCCTCGTTTACATCGGCTCCTTTGGAAATGAAGAATTTCACAAGGTCTATATGACCGAATTCTGCTGCGGCATAGAGTGGGGTCATACCAGCATATCTGTTCTGCTTCGCCCCTTCAGTTATGAGGTATTTCACGGCTTTTAGATGACCCTCCTGAACGGCTGCATTGAATGATGTCCATCCGGTGTTATCTTCTTGGTTCAAATCATGTCCTTCTGCAATGAAGCTCTCTAGGATGTCAACATAACCATGTGCAGCCGCTGTATGAAGAGGTGTCCTACCCCGTTCACATTCGACATTCACGTCCGCTCCCTGCAGGATGAGGAAGTCAACGATGTGTGCATGTCCTTCTTGAGCAGCTGCATGAAGAGGACTGCGCCCACCCTTACTTGGTTTATTTGGGTTAGCTCCCCGTGAAATCAGATCATGAACACCTTCGAGGTGGCCTTCTAAAGATGCCGTGTAGAGCGGTGTGTATCCTTCCTCATCCACCTGGTCTATGTCAGGGTTGGATGGTAGCTCTAGTGTGAATGCACTTGCAGCGATGGTAGCGATATACTTCTTTATTGCTTGCAGCGAGGAGCCATTGCGGTCCTTCAACTCGGTGATTGCTGTAGCAACCATCTCGGCAGTTATTTCATCCAGTAGCGTGTTATACATTGCATCCCAATCATCGTTCGTATCAGTCTCTAAGACTTCCATGATTTCTCCTGGCTGCAGGGAAGATTCTTCCATTAGGACGCACTTGTCATCAGCAGATGCGTCGGTATCGTGGGACTCATGAGCGCCGTGTGAAAGCCCTGAATTTATGTCCTCTATATCTGCATCAGGTCGCAGTAATGTAAGAGTAATACTATATCCTCCACCATGTGCTTCTTTGGGTTCAGTATTCAAACCAACTGAAATATGTTGTGATGGCATGTTTTGCTGCGGTTTGATCAGCGGTATACCGGTTCCCTTGGCCCTATAACAAAAAACATATTTCTATTGTTGTACTCGTAGTGACAATATGAAATCTGGGATTTTAAATTGTAAAAACTTGTTATGCCAATAGATTTATACTTGTTCGAATTCCATTATTAAAGAAAGAGTTTAAATGAAGGCCAATTTAAATGTTATACAACGTTTGGTAAGGGGTCATGAATTTGGTTCAAATGAACTATTGGAAGCAAATGCGATCCGACAATATTTAGTGATCGTTGTCGCTGTGGAAATTGAGTCTAAAGTTATGAAATTGTGAAAAATAAACTCTTTATGTTGTATAGCTCCCTCTCAAGGTCAAGATAATAATCAAGCTATGAAACAATGTTTCTTGACTAAAATCGACCGATTAGCTATTTCCGTTTGGAAATTATATATCACAACTACATATTCTGAGATTTTCATGGTCGCAGCTACCATTAACGGCCATAGGCGCTATTTGAAATTCATCAAAATTTACCGGGAGCACCGGTAAATTTTATACTCAATTTTTCTCGAAAGCAGAAGTGTTTTAGGGGCTAAATGTGCTAGTGCATATAAAACATCCACAGGGGGATCCAAATATATCAAAATTGTAAAGAATCACTATCCACCCAATGTTCAATATTTTCCAAAACTTTGTATTACCTTTAAAAGAATGATATGCGATTGAAAATAGGTAATAAAATTACATTATGTAATTTGAGTCCGACACCATCTTCGGGGGAGAAGAGGGAGGGGATGGGAGGAAGGGGATGGGAGGGAGGAGTCCATTTGTTTCATTCCTGGGGTGCAATATTTTGAGTCCCTTGCTGCGTATAAATCTCATTAACTATTTATGTATCTGCCTGATAGTTTAAGTCCTGTTGGGGTTTTTTCCAAAGGAAATTGAAAGCAAGTAAATGCAATTTATCGTCTTCGGTTCGTAAGGGAAATTGCTAGATTTGTAAATAGAATTAGTTAGATAGCGGCGAAATTAGTCTTCTCATTAGTAAAAAGCGTAAGAAACAAAGAACAAAAGTCAAAGCCTTACACCATAACCATGCCATGGTTTGTGAGCGTTATAAAATCAAACTTGTAATAAAAAGGGGTTCCGTAAACAAGCATCAAGCGTCAACTGAGCTGATATTTTTTGTCAAATGGAGAATGGAGACTAAGTGAGTGGACCATATCGAGTTTCTTCTAAGACGAGAACATAATTACCCAAATAAAATATAAGGGTATAAGGACTGAAACGGGAAATCGACCTCATGTGAGATATGCGTGACATGACTAGTTGCAATGATTATTCAAGTACAATGAATGATTACAGATAATGGTGGTTCAAATCAAATGTTTCATGTCTGATGTCCATGGAGATAAATGAAATGTCTAAACCAAAAATACATCAATTATGACCGCGCTATGCGTTCTATTTTCTATTTATAAAATGATAGTCATCCTATTCGACATCCCTCTGTCTCTCTCTCTCTATCTCTCTCTTTCTATATTTTGCTGAGCGATCTTGTCTACTTCTCTATCTATCTTTATTATCTCAAGAAATATGTCTATATATTTCCATATTTTCTGGAATGGGCACAGACAGTACATTATTAGTTCTTGCTCATGCAGATAACGATCTGATGAGGACACTTTAGCCTCACTTTAACCTCTTTCCATTTTATTCACTGATATATACACTAACGATATGCTTTATGCTAGTGTAATTTCCCGAATACAAGTTATAATAATAATAATCCGTTTTTTTTATATAGCGCTCAATACACCGATCCAACGATGTGCCTAAGCGCTTTACAGATATATATTAATACTTAGTAAAAGATATTATTTACTAAGTATCAATATATTATTAATAACAAATATTTCTTGATTTACCACAACCGCGGGCTACGCTTTGCGTGTTTTGATACGTTTAGATGATGATTGATTTGAGAAAAAAAACTTACGTTTTCTGATCTTGAATTCCTACGTCACCATCAGATTCTTGAGGAAGGCTCTTCTCATTTTCAATCCCTTGTTCAAACCCGCAAGGTTTCTCAGTATCCTGAACAAAACAAACAAAAAACAATTTCATCACAGCTACTTATGTCATAATTTCACAGGGATTTGTCTCTTCAATTATTTATCGTTTCGACATGACGAAGAATTGGGATACGATTGCAACAACCAGAGTTGACAAAAGACTTAACTCCGTTTCGTTGACGATCAGCCATGCATCAAGTCTTTCGTCTTCGTTGTGCATGGCTGATCTTCAACGAAACGGAGTTAAGTCTTTTGTCAACTTTGGATGTTACTACGGCAGACAGCCAGAGAAAATGAACTCGTTTAATCAAATTATGGAAAGGCAAGCATTACTTAATAATCAAACAGAACTTTTTTTTATTCCTGGCTCATTCTTCCTGATTGAGGTGTCATATGAAAGGGCTAAAATTGAACTTCCTAGAAATGTGATTTTCTCCTTGAAATTAAGATACCGCCCGCCAAATGACTTTTTGGTTTCCTCTCTTCAAATTGTTTGTAACAACTCATGCGTGAAATATTAATTGCATCAAATGAAGGAGGAGGATCTAAGCTTTACAAATATGTATCATTTATTAATAAATTGTGATTAAGTTATGATAAAACATCGATATTTCTAGGTTTCGTTTTTTTCTGGGACGCACTGTATAGTGGCAAAATAACAAGGTCAGAGTTAGACCAGTGCAGTCATATTTGAAATAAAATTTGCAGGTATTATCATGATCGAAGCGTATCTAGTGATTGAGAAAAATCGAACAAAATACGGTAAAACTTGCAATTAAACTTAGGCAGCAATTGATATATTGACAGCAAAATGAAAGAACGTGTTATATATTACACATGTATGTAAGGGGTAAGGGATATGGTCCAGCATTCATTTGATAGATATACAAAATTGAAAGAAAAAATCAAGGTTTAGGTCAAATGCATTACTTAGATGCTGACAAAAGGGTACACAAGGCTTTAACCTTAACATATAAATTGTGCCATATATATTGGGGAATATATTTTAAAGTCGCTTTGTCATTATACGATGCTTTTTCATCCACAAGTCTCGGATAAAAAAATAGTATATAAACACCCCCGCCCGTCTAGACCCCCTTGGTCTCTCTCACTCCCTAGGAGTAGTGCCGGTTGCCGATATCTGAAAACCACCGACAAAAAAGCTGCGACCATTGACAACCAATTTGCAAAATTGAATAGAAGGCGTTGTAGGGCAGTTGCCAATCGGTCGCCGAATGTCGTACAAAATTGTCGCAAATTAAAAAAAGTTGTAACATACTTTGCGACCGCTCTTGGAAATATTTGCGAATTATTGGCATTTGTTCGACTATCGATTGGCAATAATGATACCTAATCTGAGATCAATGGCCGATGCATTCATTATTCATTTATGATACACGTGTGCATTCATATTAGACGGAAGTATACTTTTCAAGACGGGGAACGAAAGGTTTTCACGAAGCAACTTCATCATCTTGGAAGTGATTATCCTAATATGCACAAAGTGGGAGGTCTCTATAGTGTCCGATAGTATTTGGGGGTCATTTGCACAAGTGCTATCTCCCAGATTGGCTTATTATGAAATGGAGGAACTTTTTCCCAGATTCTAAAAAAAAAAGGAGGATTCGTAACATGTAACAATTAATTCAACAACAAAAATCAGACTTTGTCTAATTTGAACTGACACTTGGTTTTTTAACAAGGCTGTTGTCGTGAAACGCTACCCTGACAATTACAATAAAGAAAAACTTCCGAACAATATATTTTGTTTTGGCATTACATTTGAACTATAGGTTACTGATATATGATTATTTTGCAAACGAGTACTCGTTTGTGCCACGTCTATTATTGCTTTGATATATCTTTCATATTGCTCCGATTGTCTCATTTTCGCTCGCTGGATCACTGTAGCACAAACCTAGCTAGTTCGACGTCACTAAAACTAGCCAATCAGCTGTCAATGACGTCATATTGAATGCGGCGGCAAATATATTTTGTGAAATTATCGAGAAATGGACTATTTCTAATTGCAAACTAGTTTTATTTTTGGCTGGAAACGCAACCATTGTTATCTTGAAATTCATTGAAGTCATCAGAATAGGGTAAGTTACGTCTCAGATGATTCAAGAGGTTTATTTTGTAGATAAATTTTCAATTTCTTAGAATGTTCCACTGTGTTGCAGGGTACCGGGTGTATGCCATTGGGTGTGATGTGTTCGCGCGCAATGGCGCGAATTATACATTCTTCTTCTTCTTCGCTATAAGTACAGGCCACCGCGTCGTCGGGTGTGAACATTCCTTTCCTTCTCAATACAATAACTTTCACCTGCCTAAGTTATTCAAACCATACGGAATAGTGGCGTCTCGCCACTTCCATTACGTAATCATTAAAAGGATCCGCATATACAACATTTTCCTGTTATACGTTGTACCGCAGGAAAATACAAATCTCCCTGGTATACCTTACAGTCCAAACGTAAATATGTGCCTTAAACGAAGCAGGCGACAATCTGCGTAGCAGACGACACTTGATAGTAATTTTGTATGTGAGATTGCTTTGCTAAATATAAATTACTTTGTTAATAAATATCAACTAAAATTTCTTTTACATATCTTTAAACCATCATTGATATTTAATAATTCATGAGTGAGTAAAAGAAACATACCAAACTATATAAATGATATGAAATACTTGGTGGCAATTAGGGGAGTTTGACGTGATGACCGATTGCACCCCTCTGTTAATAACCGAATAGTCCATGGTGTGTCATGAATATTCATGTTTTTGCTTACCTCGGCTAAATGTTTGCTTTTACTAAATGGACAAAATTACGGTGGGGGGGGGGGGGGGTTGGATGAAATGGACATAATGAACACAGCAGAAGTGATAATTGATAATTCATGCTTCTTATCCTTCGTGTGCTTGACCTATAATCTTACAATCGCTTGGCAGACTGAGTCCAAAGTTCGACTTGTTTCACATGTGTATTATAGGCAAAGGCGAGCTTGCAACCTATTTTGAAAAATTACGGTGGGTAAACTTTCAAAAGTCAATGAGACATGAGGGCTCCAATGAAAGAGCTAGTGATAACGTACGTCGGGGTGGATGTGCTTTTCGTTTAAACAAAACAAAATGAATTTTTAACGACTTTTAAAAAAAACGTCCATAGGCTAACATGTTAGGCTGCTGACTCTGATGATAGGGGGCGTTGTGAAATGAGACTAAACGGAGCAATATGCTAAATGTGCTATGGAATTTTGTTTTAACTGTTCTGTATAAATGTTTTGCTTTTTGATGTTAATATTTTCATAATTATTCAGTGTCCTATGGAAGACCGCTACTAATTAGTGAATGATCTACCCTGACAAAAGATTAGAAATAAATAAATTAATTAATATATAGGAGTAAAAAGACATTTAACTTACCTTGACTCCATCTGTTAATGTTGATCCCGGACCCATCTCCTCGCCATCAGTGTTCATCCCCATGGTGGAATCACCCTGTAGCAAGTGAAATATAAAGATATAAATTAGAAAGGAATCGCAAGGCATCAAGCTCTGCTAATCTTGAACCCCGGTCAGCACTTTTAATAATCTTTTTTAATTAAATTTAAATTGATTCATTATATATTCGATAAGGACTCAAAGTCGAGCACTCTAACTTGTTTGGGATTTTAAGGAGATAACATCATAGGTCAGCCCTGTCTATGAACGTGGACAAGGTCGAACTTTAAAACCATGTATAGACTTAGATAATTCAATTATAAAAAAAAGGATTAGCTAGTGTATGAATTGATGATTTAATACACACAGAACTGATCATTGCTGTAATCGTCGCTTTGAGATGATATGGCCATAGGCTGCTAATTAAAATGACGTCCACATGTATTGTAAAAGGTTACCGGGAGGTAGACCCTTATAACTGGTTGTGCCACCATGAGGAACTATTAACCAAATGCACTCCATTTTCATAGAATGTTACAATTATTCTCGATGCCATTCAAAAAGAAGAGACTCTGGACAAGTCCTTTTAGGCAACAAATTACTTGGCAACTTCGAGGAAAAACTCTGTTGCAGGTGTAAGGTACAAGGAGGAGCAATTGCTAGATGTCTGCAAATAGAATTCAATTTATTTGCCAGGATTGACAAAGAATGGATTTACAGCCCTTCTCTATGATCATAAGTCAGATACCTTAAAGTGCCTGGCTGAGGTTAATAGTATCATGGATGAAGTTACATTACAGTGGTACCTGGATGGCCATTCCATTGCCCCCAAACAGAGGAGTTGATCACTATGTTATCAAATCGTCGGAGGGGAGTAGTCATCTTCTTCTTTACATTAAAACCAAAGTAATAAGACAAAGCATTGTTGCTTGCAACATTACAACCCCCTAAATCCAATAGTTTGTATTCCGAATTCCTTGTGGCGTGCAAATTATCAAATGATGATGTGGAAAACCCCGAGATGGCAAGCAGCACAACATCTTGGTAGGGTACGAACGGTCAAGATGAACATTCGACTATAATATTGATAGCAGTGCCTATTGCAAGTGGATGTTGCGTTGTGTTCTGCCTAATCTTAATTATGTGGGCATGAAAAAAAATCAGCAGTCTGCAGGACTTTGGAGACACACCCATCTGGCAATGGCAAAGTAGTTGTCGTAGGTAATTTCAGAGGTAGACTACTTCAGGGCAGATATGGCAGAATCAGGGGACTATTAATAATACTGAGGCCTGGAACAGATATTTAAGCAAGACCTCAGAAAGAACAACCCTATGCCTAAACATAACGTCTTGTGAATAGCTCCTTTTCCCTCCTTGCCAATACCATCTTGTGATTCCATATTTATATTTTTGATAGAGTATCATTTATAACAACAACCAATCGAAACATAGCAAATGTTACATAAAACATATTTTCTGTTAGTGACGATCTTCTGACTTTTGGGGAAATACATTTTGTTTTATCTTTTTCGAGGTATGTGCGAAATCATGACTTGAATCTATTATTTGTGGATAGTATCGTTTTAAGTCTTACAATAATATCAATTTTTTTTTCTTATTTTCTTTATCAAACAAGCAAGACAATGGTTTCTGTCTAGCATATATACTCATGTATCAGTGGAACCTAATACAGTATACTGCTGAAATAGTAAGCATGAATTATATTTGATAGTAGTTTTATATTAGTTTGAAAGTTTTGATAGTGGTGGTTATTTTACCTGGCAGCTAAGAAAGCAATAAATGCTTGTTAATTTACGAGGGATAATTGAGCTAATTAATCTCATACTCTAGAAAATTGAATATCACTACAGATAGTAATGAATTATATGGGGAATGTATGGGTGAATGCGTGTGTGTGTGTGTCTGTGCGCGAGTATTTTTGCGTTTGAGCGTGCAAATAAATAACTCCTTGTTATGTTCAGTTCCATAAACATGACTATCAAGACTTTTTGTGAATGGTATTGTCAAAGAGTTCAGTCCCGATACATAAATGATCATGTCTGATTGGTACACGTCGGTAAAACCCAATTTCATGGTCCTACATGCATATACACATATATACACACACACACCTTCACTCAACCCTTTATTATTTGTCAATGATATGAAGGCTGGATCTCAAACAAGGGAAAGATAACAACATGAAAAATGATATTGTTTATACGTAACTCGGTTTATCATTAAAAGTAAATTATTATGACCAATGGTAGAGATCTGTGGAGCGTGGATGAAAAATATGCCCCCGTAAAATACATTCAATAATTTCAATGGAAGCTTGTCTGACATTATTTTTGATCAAAGTTGGCCGTTGTTTCAACTCTTCTGCGTTTTTTTTTTTTGCGCTTGTTAATTTCCAATGAACTGAAATAAATTAGGTGGCCTAAACTGGCTTATTGTTGCAGTATTCGTCTCTCTCTCTCTCTCTCTCTCTCTCTCTCTTTCTTTGTCGGTCTCTCTGCCTGCCTCTCTCTCTCTATATATTTCCATTCCTCCCCCCCTCTCTCTCTCTCTCTCTCTCTCTGTAGTATGATGCTCAAACATTTTGAGGGCGAATTAGCCTCAAGTGAGCTGGGGAACAGAAACAAGAAAGAGAAAACGGGGAACTCGGGGGAATACCTAAAAAATGCGGACAAAGAACATCGAAGTAGCGAATCCATAAACATATCTATTGATATGAAGCTACTCCTATTGAAGAGTCGGTCACGGTAGGTGATGTTTTTAACAAATCAAATTCCTCCTTTTTATTTTTTTTATCTGAAAGAGGACGTTTTCGTTTGAAATTTTATAACGTAGTATATGTATATACGAAACCACACTTAAACGGGTAGCCCTTTTTCTCCTCATTGGTGTATTGATTTCTGAGATTGAACAGTTATGTACCATCATTTTGAAGGAAAATCCAACCCAATTGGATATCTACTCTAAAAGAAACCAGAAAAATCAGATTAGCAAAGTGATAAAAGGTTAAATTAAATCTGACTAAATATAAGAAACCTATGCATTTTTGAAATTGGTAATCACAATACGTATGGGCAGTTCAAATTGGCTGAAGCGGTGATGTAAATTTGGTGTAGTGCCGGACTACTTTCCTATCTGTTCCAACATATAAAATGACAAAAGATAATGACTCGGAAGGATCTATTCATTTTAGGGGACCTATACTAACATGCTATCTAACACATATTTTGAGTAGTGCCCCGGGCGTAGCAACGAGGAAAACAAAAATTAGTGATATTTTTGTAGACGGCAAATTGGTGAGTAATCCACGTCCAACATCACAATTCATTGACCAAACCACCAATTTGAGATACGCATAGACTTAGTGATCTCATATTTTAAACATTCATAACTTCCTTACTATTGATCCCATTCATTTCAAACTTTTGCCATTCTGTTTCTGGGTTTTTTCTGTTTTCATACAAATCAATTTATTACAAGGGTTGGATTGCCCTTTAATCATGATAGAGATCTTGTCCTAAATGGTTTAAGTGAAGTGAAACTAACCAACCTTTGACTTAGAATTGAAATAAAAGAGTGTTGAAATATAAAACTTCATTTTCTCAATTCTCACCATCATACCAACTACCCAAAAAGTACATACAACAAGTAAATGTGAATGCAGCATTTAATGAAGTAGGTAATGCGCATTTGACAATAACATGTATTCATTTCTTCTCCTATATGACTCTATTTTGCCTTATTCTGACATCTCAAACATCTCAATCTGTTATTTATCTTATTTTCCTGCTTTTATACAATTGAACTTATTACAAGAGCTAGATTACCCTTTAAACTTGCTGAGCTATATTTTGCCACAAGTTTTTAGCATGTCAATAGTATTAGCCTGCTATTCATTTTGCACACGGCCACAAAATCACACAAATTGTGAAATATGGAAAGGGAAAACATGGACATTGATCGTGTAGTATGGATGTTCAGATGTTCGTTTATTTAGTAGATGGAATTCTGTATTTTCAGGGTAGTTCAATATTTTTCCGAATCCCTTTGTGTACCCCAGTGTGGGTTATAACAAACTAAATGGACGCGTGTTTAAGTGTATGTGGTTTGCCTAGTGTGACATTATCCTTTATCCTATTTCATACCAAAATATTTGTTTATATTTACATGTACACGCAATTTTGTGAATGTGAATAGGAAAAGAAATGAATCATTGATGTTGCTGTTCATTATCATACTACTAGCTTTTATGGCATGATGTTTTTCCTGGCTACTCTCATACTGCATCGTCTCATTTCCCAAGTGTTGATAACTCAAAGAACACAAAGTTGTCTACTTTGCTTTTGTATAGAATAAAGTAAAATTAAGCAAATTTGTTTCGTGTAAAGGAATGTGTAATTAAAAATGAAAATAAGGCATTTCTTGCACTGCGGCTGCTTTAATGAATCAGATAATGTCTAGTCAATGGGCAAAACAGACGATAGTTAAACATTGAATATTAAAATAAACATTCTTGAAATTAAAACAAATCACAGTATCCATCTGTCCATTAACATTGTATATTTTGTCAATGTATCACCGAATTATTGCATCAGGGAGGAAGAAGATTAGAATGCTATATTTTTTAACATTTTCCTTGATCTAATGGAAGGAGAAATTTCATCTTAAAGACCTTGTTTACCTGAGACTTGAAGTTAAGTGTATTTGATAGTGCTTTTAACGTTTTGGGCACCGTCACACAACGATAAATTAGCAATTGATTGCTATTCTGAAATTTACCATAATTTACAATTATTTTATTTTACGATCAATCAATCGTACAGTCTGTCATTCAATTGCTACGTTTTGTGTTACAGGTTCCTAGATTTTTTAACTTGTAAACGGGATCGTCAAACAAATGTTGACTAATCTTCGTCAAAAGGGTGCATCTTGAAAAGTCATTATCTCTTGGCGCACCCGAAACCGAAACCTTTCACATGAAATGCTTTGTAAAGTCATCGTCATAGCGATTTCACCTTACATTTCAATACATATTTATT